AAAAAAAAAAAAAAAAAAAGAATGGTTTGTCCCAGAGTTGGTTAGGGGTAAAACAGGTGAGGTAGGAAAGGGAAAAGATAGATAACTTCCAGGAAATCGAATTCCCCAAATGCAAGAGACCCAGATGTAAAAGGTTTAGAAATGTGAAAGATTATAAAACACCAATGGTGAGAAGATAAAATCTGTTTAAAAGGGTCTAGGCCCACAGATAAAATCTGTTTAAAAAGGTCTAGGCCACATCTTGACCCCCTGTGACCCAAGCTACTGCAACATGGCACCATTTGAAAGCATAGCCTGCCAGGGTGCATCTTGTTCTGGGAGCCAATAGCCACTGCCTCTCTACAATTCTTAAGCCCTACTATCATTCTGCCATGCTCATACAAGTGGCTGCAACTTCACAACCCTGGTTACTCAGAGCCTAGGCCCATTGAAATGACCTCTATCATGCTGCCTGAGCCCATATGGTGATACCTGTCTCTTCAAAGGAATAGGTATCCCTACATTGTCCCTATCCAACTGATACCCTATATATGCATATACCCTTGCCCTGAGAACCAGCCCTGTGGTCCTGCTCCTGGCAAGACCACCCCCAAGCCAGTGAACCTGCTGTACAGGCACACCCTCAGCCTGAGAACCAGCCTTGCCCAGCTCCCTGCAAAGACATGCCACTGCCAGCACGAACTTCTATAACCTAGGCAACTGAGGCACTGTAATATAAATTATATGATTATAATATAATTATGTTCATACAAGTGGCTGCAACTCCACAATTATAATTTATATTATACATGTGGACTACAGCTGAAGAAGTACTACACTACTATCTTTTTCTAGAACTAAAGCCAACATACCTTACCTAACTGACACCTACAGTTCATCTATAGGAAAAGTCTTTCCCCAAAAGGCTACTCCACAAATTTGGAAGAGGTGATTGTTGTGCCAGATGTGTAAATATCAATATAGAGACACAAGAAATATTAACAATGAAGAAACATAATACCTTCAAAGGAAACAGAATAATTCTTCAGTAACAGAACCCAAAGAAAACAAAATTTTCTAAATGCCTGGAAGGGAATTCAAAATAATGATATTAAGGAAATACAGTGAGTTGTAAGAGAATACAGATAGATAATTTAATGAAATAGGACAAACAATTCATGATCTCAATGAGAAGTTCAACAAAGAAATATATATTATTGAACAAAGAACCAAAGAGAAACCAAAGAGCTTGAGATGTCAACAAATCAAATAAAAAATACAATTGAGAGCTTCAACAACAGACTAGGTTAAGCAGAAGTAAGAATTTCTGAACTTGGAGACAAGTCTTTTGAAATGACTAGAGCAGAGGGAAAAAATAAAGAAAGCCTACAAGACATATAGTGTATCATTAAGTGAACAAATGTTTGCATTATATGTGTTAAGGGAGAAAAGATGGAGAAAGAACCAGAAAACAGATTTAATGAAAAAAATAACTCCTCAAGTCTTGGGAGAGATACGGGCATTCAGATTCAGAAATACTAATACCTCAAATAGATCCAACTTAAAAGGATCCTTTCAAAAAAGTCCTGTCCAAGGTGCTTTAAAATCAAACTGTCACAAGTTTTACAAACTAGAGAGACATCCAAAAACAGCAAGAAAACAAGCAAAAATCTTCAAGTTACATATAAGGGAATGCCCATTAGAACATAAGCATATTTCTCAGCAGAAACATTAAAGGTCAAAAGAGATTGGAATGATATATTCAAAATGCTGAAAGAAAAAAAAAACTTTCCACCAAGAATATTATGCCTATTAAATCTATTCTTTGGAAACAAAGGAGAAATAAAGTCCTTCTCAAATAAGCACAACTGAGGGAATTCAGTGCCACTATCCCATCCTTACAAGAAATGCTTAAGGGGGGAGGGCTGCAACTAGATGGAAAGGATGATAAATAACTATTATGAAACACATAGAAAGATAAAACCCACTAGTACAAGTAATTTTATAATTAAACTCAGGATACCCCAATACTATGTAAAACTTTCAAACCTCTAGTATAAAGTTTAGGGATAAAATGGTCAAAAATAACTGCAGATACAGTTAGGCTGTTAAGGAACACACAGTATATAAAGATATAAATTGGTGGGGGAAAGGGAAAAGTCTGGAGTATTTTTATGTGACCAAGTTACGTTGTCATCAGTTTAAAACAGTCCAGTATAACTATGAGACTCTTTATATTAGCCCTATTATAACCACAAAGAAAGAAATTGGAGCAGATACACAAGGAATCAAAGCTTAACACCACAGGAAACCACTAAACCACAAAGGTAAATAGTAAGAGAGGAAGAAAGGAACAAAGGATCTATGAACAACCAGGAAACAATTAACAAAATGGAAGGAGTAATTCCATACCTGCTAATAATAGCCTTGATTGTCCAGGGGTTAAATTCTCCAATTAAAATATGTCGTGTGGCAGGAGGATGATATAGCCATGATATAGTGATGTGTTGTCTATGAGGGACTCATTTTATCTCTTAGGACACATAGACGGAAAGGAAGGGATGGAGAAAGATATTCCAGGCATGTGGACAACAAAGGCAAGCTGGAGCACAGATACTGCTCTCAGATCAAATAGACACTGTAAAGAGAGATGGCCATTCTATAATGATAAAGGGGAATGTCCCGCAAGAGGATATAACAATTACAAATATATTTTCAGCCAACACTAGAGCACCCAAATCTTAAGATCTTAGGAGCATTACTTTATCATGCATATTTGTGCCATGTTTAATTCTTTTGTTTCATTTTACTTAATCTAATGTTTAGTGAAATTTGTCTTATGTAAAAGGATATTTCAGGGAAATATTTTATTAAATCTATTTGAGTCTTTCTTTAAAAGAAAAAAATAAAAGGAGAGATAGAATATAATGCTATAAAAGTAGGGGACTTTTATACTTATTTTCATTTTGAGATAGAGTCTCACTCTATCACCAGGGCTAGCTTGCTGTAGCTTCAGCCTCGATCACAGCAACCTCAAACTCCTGGGTTCAAGTAATCCTCCTGCCTCGGCCTCCTAAGTAGCAAGCACTACAGTGCCTGCCACAATGCCTGGATAAGTTTTCTATTTGTAGTAGAGATGGGGTCTTGCTGTTCTTCAGTCTGGTCTTGAACTCTTGACCTCAAGTAATCCTCCTGCCTCTACCTCCCAGAATGCTAGGATTATAGGTGTGAGCTCCTGAACCCAGTTAATAGTAGGGGACTTTAACACTTTGTTTTTTAGCAATGGACAGATCATCCAGACAGAAAATTAACAAAGAAACATTGGATTTAAACTACACCCTAGACCAAATGGACCCAGGAGACATGTACAGAACATTTCATTCAACAGCTGTAGAACACACATCTTTCTGAACTGTACATAGAACATTCTCTGGGAGAGATGATACATTAGCCCATAGACCAGTCTCAACTTATTTAGGAAAACAGAGATATCAAGTACTTTTTCTGACCACAGTGATATGAAACTGATATCAATAACAGGAGGAACTTTGGAAATTTTTCAATAATGGAAATTAAACACCATGCTCCTGAATAAGCAATGGGTCAATGAAGAAATTAAAAGGGAAATTGAAAAACGTTTTGAGACAAATGAAGATAGAAACACAACATTCCAAAACACCCACGATACAGCAAAAGCAGTTTTTACAGCTAGAACTTTATAGCAATAAATGCCTCCAACAAAAAAAGAGAAAGATCTACAACAAACAACCTAAGGTTTCCTAGCACCTCAAGGAAGTGGCAAAACAAGAACTAAACCCAAAATTAGTAGCAGGAGGGAAATAAGATCCAAGCACAAGTAAAGAAAATAGATACCAGGAAAAATACAAAAGATCAGTGAAATGAAAATTTGGATTTTTGAAAAGGTAAACAAGATTGACAGACTTCAGAAAAAAGGAGCATTCGCTCAGAGATAAAGACAGAGAGATTACAATCGATAATGCAGGAACACAAAAAGATCTTTAAAGAAAACTGATTAAAAAATGGACAAGAGACCTTAATAGACATTATTCAAAAGAAGATATACGAAGGGCCACCAGGTATATGAAAAATGCTCAACATCACTAATCATCAGGGAGACGCAAATCAGAACAACTATGAGACATCACGTCTCTCCAGTCGAAAGGCTATGCTTGTGTCTTTTTCAGTGCAGTGTATTCAGTAATAGAAAGCAGTTTAATTAACTCACAGCAGTGTTTTGCTTTGTATTTTTTCTAGTTTTTTTTAGCTTTCAATGTTAGCTTAAATTTAAAGTCTCATTTGTATATAGTTTCCATAAGGCAAATGATTCTTATTAGCGTTTGTTAAAAAAAAAATGCTTATAAGAGCTAAGCTTTTAAAAATAAATGCAAACATTAACCATTAATAAAACCTATGGTGTAATATCATCAAAAAATCCAAATAATAAGAAGCATTGGCAAGGGGGGCCCCTTACACACTGTTGGCAGAAATGTCAATTAGTACAGCCATTATGGAAAGAGTATGGAGGGTCAAAAAATAAAAAATGGAGCTACCGTAAAACCTAGCAATGCCACTACTGGGTATGTACCCAAAGGAAATGAAATCAGTGTGTTGAAGAGACATCCTCATTCCCATGTTTATTGCAGCATTGTTGACAGTAGCCAAGATATGGAATCAACCAAAGTGTTCACTGGTGGATGAACAGATAAAGAAAATTGCCACCTGTGGTCCCATTTACTTGGGGGTGCTGAGGTGGGAGAACAGCTTGAGCCTAGGAGTTTGGGGTTGCTCATGGCACTCTAGCCTGAGCAACAGAGTGAGACTCTGTCTCAAAAAAAAAAAAAAAAAGAAAGAAAGAAAGAAAGAAACAAGGAAATGCAGGGGTAGCACCAAACAAATTAAGATGGCTAAAATGAGGTAGACTGGCAATACTAAGTGTTGTTGGGTATATACAGTAACAGGAATGCTCACACACTGCTTATAAAAGTGTAAATTGGTGCAACCCCTTTAAAAACCAGTTTGACTCCATCATTTGAAGTTGAAGAGATGCATAATCTATCATCTACAGGTATGACTGGCAGATGAAAGGCATCTAGGGGGTAATGGATTCAAGTTGAAGAAAAATAATAAAATATTGCAAACCATAAAGTTCTTTGCTAATACTACATGAAATAGTATTCATGTACCTGATACTGTGGAGACCATTCCTAAGAGGCCGATGATGCTTGGAAGACCAGTTGTCCCGATGGTCTCTGTCCAGGTTGAGAGTGAAGCAGATTAACATAGAGTCGGGGGGGATTTCTGGTCATCAAAAATTAGTCAAGGCTCAAAGATATTCGAGGCGTCTTTATTAACAAGGTATTCCCAAATTTGACAACATGTAGAATTTTCATGAACTATTTACAAATTGTATGTTTATAGGCTCTACCCTCATTGTGGACTGCAAAATAATAGACATGAGGGACAACACAAATCTACGATGCTGGAAAGTGCGCAACACCTTGGTGAATGACTACTACAACGAATCCGGACGGGTCAGAGAAGGAATCGAGTAGGTGATTTCCTTTCCTGGCTTCCCTAAAAGCTGGCAAGAGTATCTCCATCAAAATGAATTTGGTGTAACTACTGCTTTTCTTAGATGAGAGTTAAAAAATATCCCTTTTTGGATTTGTCTTCCAAAGATCTTCTGGGTGTTGTGCTAGGCCAAGCATCTGATTTAAAGAAGTGTGAGGAGTTTGTGTACTCAGTCCTTGCCTACAGCACAGCTGGGGCATGGGACTAAAGATGAAGTATCCCGTAGAACAGTAAGATCCATTTCACCCATCCAGTACTTAAAATCAGCCTGCATTCAGCCATAGCATGAACTAGCCAAACTAGCACCCACACAGGGACTCTTGGGGGATATATTACATCAGCATTAGATAATTGAGTCATACAGACTCAGTTTATGGTGGTGTAAATTGAGAGGTGTAAATAAGACCAGTCAAGTCAGAGGGCAGGGGAGCGTGTGTTGAGCCTTAAAGTGTAGTTAAGTTAGGATACGTGGAGAGAAGCAGGGGATGGGCTGTGGGGCCCGGGGATGGTGTCTGCAGCTAACAGAACCACATGTCCTCATCCCTGTTGAGAAGAAAAAAAAGTGGAAATTTGGAACTATACAAATTACTCCCTTCTCTGGGCTTAGCAATAGTATTTTTCAGTAAAACTACGATCCAAAGTGTTCTCCAAGAAAAACAAATTGTCTGCAGAAGAAAAAAGATTATAAAATATGTTGGGTAACTATGGCTCGTGTGTTAATTAATGGCCGGTTCTTTTCTCTCACAGAGACCCTGTCCGTTTTCGTGAACATATTTCGTACACGGTAAACATAACCTTCTTAGAAGTGAAAATGGAAGATTATGACCTTCCTTTTATGTGTCACGCAGGAGTGTCCACAGCATACATTATTTTAAAACTCCCAGGTAACGTTCCCATGGGTGATACATTGTTCGGAGCATGTGATAGGATGGCCGGGAAATATGTGTGAAATACAAGTGACATTAGATGTTCTGTTGAAGCCAGAGGGTGGTACTAAAAGAAGAAACTGGATATTGGATCTAGAGAAATGCTCCCAGATGTCTGGTACTGTTCTCAGAGTGAGGCTGTGATGTTATTTAGTATCATTTACAAGTGCCACGTTAATATCTATTGAAATTTTACGTATCAAAACAGAAAGTAAATAGCACTTATCCTTTATTAAGTGATTATTCAACTTTGATACCCATTTGCTTGTGATTTTCATCTTTTAGATCACTTATCATAAATAACTTGGTATACAAAATAAAATGATTATGTACATTTTTATCATGTGATTTTGCAAAATTATCTAAAGGTGAATTCTGATATTTGAGCAAGAGGGCTTCCAACTCAATTTGTTTATAAAAATCTCACTACTAACACTGTACAGGTCTTATTGATTATTTGCTGGAGGTAATAAAGTCAGATAATAGATAATGAAAGTCAGAACCTTGAGGACAACTTAAAAATTCATAGCACAGCAGGGGAAGTGTATGCAATGCCTGATAAAATGCGCTTGGTTCACTGTTTTTTCCCTCTTGGTTCTGTTACAATCATTGTGTATGTGGTGGGGGCTGCTGACCGCATGCAAGAGAGAGGCTTGTACTTGCCAGTTCCCCTAACAATCAGTTAGAGCTGAGTGCTAAAGTCCCACCAGAAACACTTTTCCACAACTTAACAGAAAACATACTGGTTGCTATATGGAGCTGACAGATGTGTCTCTGCTGCTGTCAAGCTCCTGACCTTGTCAGTGTCTGTCACCTCCCTTAGATAGCAGTGAATGGGTCGTGCACAGTAGTGCACGGTTCCGTATGTGAGCCCACAGCCATGCATGGTTCTGGTTCCGTATGTGAGCCCACAGCAGTGCACGGTTCCGGTTTCATATGTGAGCCCACAGCCGTGCACAGTTCTGGTCCTGTATGTGAGCCCACAGCTGTGCACGGTTCTGGTCCTGTATGTGAGCCCACAGCCATGCACGGTTCCGTATGTGAGCCCACAGCAGTGCACGGTTCTGTATGTGAGCCCACAGCAGTGCACGGTTCTGTATGTGAGCCCACAGCCGTGCGCGGTTCCAGTTCCGTATGTGAGCCCACAGCCGTGCACAGTTCCGTATGTGAACCCACAGCCGTGCACAGTTCCGTATGTGAACCCACAGCCGTGCACGGTTCCGGTTCCGTATGTGAGCCCACAGCCGTGCACGGTTCCGTATGTGAGCCCACAGCCGTGCACGGTTCCGGTTCCGTATGTGAGCCCACAGCCGTGCACGGTTCCGTATGTGAGCCCACAGCAGT